CTAGAGGTAAATCTTTATGACTTTGGAATTGACAGTGAAGTCTAGATGTGACACCAAAAGCACAAGCAACAAAAGAAGAAACAGACAAGTTGAAGTTCATCAAAATGAAAAACTTCTGTGCATCAAAGGACTTTATCAAGAAAGTGAAAAGACAACTTATAGAATGGGAGGAAATACTTGCGAATTATCCATCTGACAAGGGTTCAATATCCAGAATATATAGAGAACTCCTAAAACTAAACAACAAAGAGACAAACAACCCAAATAAAAAATGGGTAGAGGTCTTGCCTAGACCTTTCTCCAAAGAAGATGTACAAATGCCAACAAACACATGAAAAGATGCTCAACAGCATTTGTCGTTAGAGAAATGCCAATCAAAACCACCATGAGCTACCACTTCACACCCATCAGGATGGCTGTCATCACAAAACTGGAAAATAATAACTGTTGGCAAGGGTGTGGAGAAACCACTGGTTGGAATGTAACAGTTTGGAAAATAGGTTGGCTGCTTGAGGAGGGGTTTGCTTTCTCAAAAAGCTAAACCCAGAATTACGACATTACTCAGAAATTCCACTCCTAAGTATACACCTGAAATATCTGAAAACAGGTACTTGTTGCCTGTGTTCACTGCAGCATTATTCACAATAGCCAAGAGGTGCAAAGAACCCAGGTGTCCATCTATAGTCGATAGGTGAGTGGGTGGACAAAACGTGGTCTATCCATACAACAGAATATTATTCAACCATAAAAAAGGATTAAACAACATGGAGGAACCTTGAAGACATGATGCTAAGTGGGATAAGCCAGGCACAAAAGAACAAATACTCCGTGAGTCCTCTTATAAGAAATATCTAGAATAGGCAGGTCCATAGAGACGGAAAGTAGATTGGAGGTTACCAGGGGCTGGAAGGAGGGGGAATGGCTGGTTATTGCTTAAATGGTTGCAGAGTCTCTCTTTGAGGTGATGAAAAAGTCTTGTAAATAGATAATGATGCTGGTTGTACAACACTGTGAATGTACCTAACGCCACCGAATTGTTCACTTAAAGATGGTTGAAATGGGGGCACTTGGCTGGCTCAGTCGGGTAAGCATCTGCCTTTGGCTCAGGTCATGGTCCCGGGGTCCTGGGATTGAACCTCGTGGGGCTCCCTGCTCAGCAGGGAGGCTGCTTCTCCCTCTGCCTCTGCCTTTCTCCCCACCCCCACCGCGCTCACGCTCGAGTGCTCTCTCATGCTCCCTCGCTCTCTCAAATAAATAAAATCTTTTTTTTAAAAAGATGGTTGAAATGGCAAATTTTGTTAAATAGATTTACCCACAATTCAAAATTAGGAAAAAAGAAAGAAGGAAGGGGGCGCCTGGGTGGCTCAGTCAGTTAAGCGTCTGCCTTTGGCTCAGGTCATGATCCCAGGGTCCTGAGGTCGAGTCCCACATCAGGCTCAGCAGGGAAGCTGCTTCTCCCTCTCCCTCTGCCTGCCACTCCCCCTGCTTGTGCTCTCTCCCTCTCTGACAAATAAATAAATAAAATCTTAAAAAAAAAAAGAAGGGAGGGAGGAAGGAAGGGAGGAAGGAAGGAAACATAGGATCCAAGAAACAGGACCTCCAACAAGGAGAGAGATGGGGATGCCTGGGTGGCTCAGTCGTTAAGCGTCTGCCTTAGGCTCAGGTCATGATCCCAGGGTCCTGGGATCGAGCCCCGCATCGGGCTCCCTGCTCGGCGGGAAGCCTGCTTCTCCCTCTCCCACTCCCCCTGCTTGTGCTCTCTCTCTCATTGTGTGTCTCTCTGTGTCAAATAAATAAATAAAATCTTTAAAAAAAAAAAGGAGATGAAGGGAACTTGTAGAGTGATGGGAAAGGAGGAGCCAGGTTGACAATTGAGCAACTGTCCAGGTGAGAGGAGAGGAATGTGAAAGGCTCCAGGAAGGATGAAAAACAAAACAAAACAAATGAACCAAAACTGTCATATTATTGTATGAAGAGGATATTTTCAGCTCTATCAAAGTTTGAGAATTGTTGTGTGTGTGTGTGTGTGTTTGTGTGTATTCAGTGTTTCAAACCGTCAAAGGAGGCAGTATTACCTTTAGGAAAAGCCTAAGTGTGTGTTCGGATGGGTGAGATCTGAAGCTTCATGTTCCACAGTGGAAAGGAATCCACTTGATAATGTTTAAAACCAAAAGGAAAAACAGGATAATCATGTGATTTCGACAAATGGAAGTAAATACCGAACAAAGAAGCTTTTACAAAAAAGTTGAGAAATGGCAAAGAAACTGATCTTTTTCATTATCTACCTCCTAGTCTTATTTGATTTTTTTAAAAGATTTTATTTATTTATTTGACACAGGGAGAGCTAGCGAGAGAGAGAGAGAGAGAGAGCACAAGCAGGGGTAGTGGGAGAGGGAGAAGCAGGCTTCCCGCGGAGCCGGGAGCCCGATGTGGGGCTCGATCCCTGGACCCTGGGACCATGACCTGAGCCGAAGGCAGACGCTTAACGACTGAGCCACCCAGGCGCCCCCCTATTTGGTTTTTTAAATTTTTGTACATTCATCCATTTCTAAAAAAAAATTTTTTTTCCAAAAGAAACCTGGGAGGGCGCCTGGGTGGCTCAGATGGTTAAGCATCTGCCTTCGGCTCAGGTCATGATCCCAGGGGCGTGGGATCGAGCCCCACATTGGGCTCCCTGCTCCTTGGGAGCCTGCTTCTCACTCTGCCTCTCTCTCTCTCTCTCTCTGTCTTTCATGAATAAATAAATAAAATCTTAAAAAAAAAAAAAAGAAACCTGGGCGCCCATCTCTGGCCTATGTGTGAATTCCATTGGCCCAAAGGTCCTGCGTCCAGCTCGTGTGGGTAACAGATTTCCCCCTACAGATCCTACACCCCTCATCCCCTCTGTGGGGATGAACCTGCAGGTGTGAGAGGCGGAGGGTGTGTGCAGGTGGGGCATGTGGTGGGAGGGTGGGCGGGGGACCCGACAAAGCACAGAAAAGTGGGCTGAATGTCAAGGTGGAGGGAATATTCACGGAGGTGGGTGCCCATCGCTTCAGGCTCTGGCTGCCCTTCTCATCCCTGAGAACATGTCTTGGCCTTTGCACCCAGACCAGAGTCCAGCCAGCTGACGGGAGAGGAGAGAGAGGAAGGGACAGGGAGGGTGGCAGGGGAAGGTGGAGGCGGAGGAGGAGATGCACCTCTGCAGGCAGGGCCTCGCTGCAGGAGGGGCCTCGCTGTTTTCTGCAGCATCACGGAGGGGAAGGGCAAGTTTAAGCACCGCTGATAGCCGCGTCAGTTGGTACCACTTTTTACAGTAATTTGGTAGATAGGTCAAAATTAACCCAGCACTACCCCCTGCAGGAGTTTATCAGACAGAAACAGAAGCGCAAAGCCACAGGATATTAGCACCACGAGGTTCTCTGCAGCCTGGTTAGAATTATTGTGAAATTGGTAACAGCCTAAATGTCCAAAAGCAAAGAAACAGTAAAGAGGGAACAGGGACAAGGAAATTAATCCCACATTATACAATGTGATGCAGGCATTTAAAAAAAAGAAAAGCTGACTCCGCGTTGATAGGGAAAGATGCATGCGAGAGAAAGTGAGTTGCTGAACGATATGTAGGGTGTGGCCCGTTTTCCTGGGAAAATCATATGAGGTATGTAGATTAGGTTGTAGACAAAGGTCTGGAAGGATGGTCCCCGTTCGGTTCACAGCAGTTACTTCTGGAAATGAGACTGGACATGGGTTAGAGGAGAAGCTTTCACTTTTTATTCCCCATTCTTCTGTACGCTGGACTTTTTCAATATGGTTTATGCAACACCATCATGGGAGAGTTTAAAAACTGGCTCTGGGAATGCAGGGGAGGAGGAGCTTGGTGGAGCTGGAGCGGGACAGCTCGGGACAGCTTGGGAAAGGGGCAGGACCCAGGACTTGGCGCCGATTTGCTCTGTGCACCTGGGCCAGCCGTGGCGCCTCTCTGGGCAGAGGCCAAGTATTAGCCCCCGTGTGTGTTGGTGGAGGTGGGGAGCAGGGCATGCAGGGCTTCTCCGGGGCACCCTAGAATGATTAAGAAGTTGCTGACATCCCAATGAAGAGCCAGTGGAGGAAGCCGGGTGACAAACCCCGTGCAGCGGGCCGGGCCTGCCCCTGCCCTGAGTTGGAACCCTCAGTCTGGGCAGCTTCAGATCCACCAGGAGAAAGCCTTCCTTCAGGGAGAGCTGGGGGGCGCTGAGCCCTGGTTCCTGAGCCCCAGGTCTCTGGAGGGCAGAGTGGAGCACGGGGCTCAGCTCGGCCATGGTTCTCCTCCCAGGATGGTTCCCCAAACGGTGCCCGAGCAGCTGAGCTCTGGGCGGCAGGCTCTGGCTGGGCACGAGAGCGTGCGGGAGGTGTCCGGCAACAAGGCTGGCTCGGGACAGAACGAGCGGTCCGTCCCCGGGGGCGTCCGGGGAAGGGCTAATCTCAGAGGCCGGTGGTCCCCACCAGGGACGGGCCGGAGGAGAGTGTGAGACCAACCCTTCCAATGGTCAGTCCTCCAGGCACTAAGGGAGAGGGGATGTGATTCAGCTGGTGGAATCAGGGAAGACCATTTGAGGTCAGCATTCGGGCTGGACCTGGCAGGGGGCGGGCAGGGTGGGAGGCATTTCAGAGAATGGCAATGTGACAGGGTTGAAGGGGACCTCAGAGACCCTCCCTGTGAGGGTCAGGACACACACCATCCTCACCAATCCACATGAGGCTCGGGGAGCTGCAGTCACCCACCCAAGGTCACACAGCTCTAACTGTGCGGTAGCTCTTTAAAGTTCAGAGGGTCCCCAGGGCCGGGCCTGTCTAGAAGCCAGTGGGTACAGCCGGGCGTCGTGATTCAGGTCCAGGGTTAATTAGTAACCAGAAGGCCCTGCAGCCAGCTCCCAGCTGGTTCAGGAGCCAAGCCAGTGGGTGACAGGTCGCTCCTGACTGGGAAGGTTGTCCGGCACATCAGGGCTGGGTTTCAGGTCAGAGGGACCATGCAGAGAGACAGGAGGGCAGAGCTGCGCCCCGGGCTGCTCCCCAGGACCTGAGCTGGGACCCAGCGTTTTCAGGTGAGAGGCTCAGGCGTGAGCAGGACCCCTGTCTGCCGGCCTGTCAGGCTGCCAAACTGCCAAACGGGTTACCTGGCCGGCTTCTTTTCCGGCTACCAATGTCCTCCCTTTCCTTCCTAGCACGCTCTTTCCTATTCCCCTTCCTTCCCTTTTCCTTCCTAACTGTTCCTGCCGTCCTCCCTTCCTCCATAATCCCCTTCCCTTCTAATTTCTTTCCCCTCCCTCCTTTCCTTCCTTCACTCTCCCAACTGCCTCTCTGCCTCCCGGGTCACCTAATCTCCTCTCCTCCTAACTAATCCAGCCACACCCTGGCTTCCTTCCGTTTCTACATTCCTAACTTCTTCCTGCAATTCCAGGCCACAGGCTTTGGAGTCAGATTACCTGGGTTCAAATCCCAGTTACCGCGTTGACTAGCTCGGTGTCTTGATCAAGCCACTTCACCTCTCTGTGCCTGTTTCCTCCTCCTTAAAACAGGGACACAGGTGGCTTCTAACCCCTGGTGCTGTGGGAACAAAATAAGACCAAGTTGGTACTAGGTTGTACTGTCCTTGGTATGTCATTGGTATGCACTGGGCAGGCAGGCATGTAAATGAGTAAGTTACAGTAGGGTGAAGACAAGTGTTATAGCAGCAGCGGGCTCGGAGAAGGGGACAAGAGTTTATGGGATCAGGGGGCAGGGGGTGGTCTGGCAAGTCTTCTGGGGAAGGCAAATGAGGACAGATGCAAAGGGCTAGCCGAGCAGACCAGAATGGTGAGGGCAGCGCTCCAAGGAGAGGGAACTGCGTGACCCCCAGCCCCGCTGCATCCACAGGCCTCGGGAGGTGGGAGCAGGTCCGAGTCATGATGGGGCAGAGGCGTGCACATCTAGGCTGTGGCAGTTAAGAGGAAGGACAGACTTGAGGGCTCCTGGAGGGACTTGGACCACACCCCATGGGTTCACAGGCATCTCTGTAGGTCTGGATAGTCAGGAGGAGGTACTGATGCCCAGCCTCTGGCCAGAAAATCAGCAGACAATGGTGCAGATGAGAAAAAAGCCATAGGAGCTGCGAGCTGCTCAGGGGTGGGAGCCCCAGTCAAGGTGATGGGAGTGTGGCGGTGGGCAATGCATGTGTCAAAGTTCTCCCCAGGCCTTAGTACCTCAGTGTTAAGTGAACAGCAGCCCCTGGAGACATTTTACACCAAGGTACAAAGATAAAAATTAGCCTAACCCACTGTCACCTTGGGGTGTAAACATCCATCCTTTTTTGGTGACTATGCACAAATGTAAATGTTCACGCATGTCTCTATTTTCTTATAAAGATGGTCTCCCTGGTACACCATTTTGCAATGTCCTTTTTTTTTTTTTTTGCTTGACATTGTATCACACAAATATTCCTGTTCTGATTTACAAATCTATTGTTTTCAATTGGGTAATTTTCCATTTCATATATGTACTATCATTGATCTTATCAACTCATTCCTGATTCGTTAGTCAAATATGTACTAAGCCCCAGTCATATTCCAGGTCCTTATCTAGGAGCTGGGGATTCAACAGGGAGCAAGAAAAGTCTTTGCCCTCGTGGAGCCTGGAGCCGACATTCTAGTTCAAGACAAAGTAGAGTTGATGATAAGGTGTCAGAGTGGTATGTGTTATAAAGGAAGACACAAAGCAGAAAAAGTGGATGGGCGCGGGCGGGAGCGGTGCTGTACAGTGACCAACCATCCTGCTTTGCCCCAGGACTGTTCTGGTTTTAGCCCTCGCGGTCTCACATCCCCTGAAACCCTTGGTCCCAGACAAACCAGGAAAATCAGTCACTCATAATCAGAAAAGGCCTCTCTGAGAGGGGACATTTGAGCAGAGACCTCTGTGATGTTCCTGGAAGCCAGCCATGCCGGAGTCTGGGGGATGAGCATTCTAGGCAGAGGGGAAAGGAAGTGCCGGGGGCCGGAGGCCAGAGGGCACTCCGTGTGTTTGAGCGACAGCAAGAAAGCCAGAGGGGCTGGAGCGTGGTGAAAGGGAGAGCATGGGGACCAAGGTGGAGACGGTGACAGGAGCCAGGTCAAACGGAATCTCGCAGACCGTGGTAGATTTTAATCCTAGGTGGGATGGGAAGCGACCGGAGTTTTTGAGCAGCCAGGTCACGTGGTCCGACTTCCGGTTTAAAAGTGGCGCTCAGGCTTTGGGTGGAGAAACATTGTAGAGGGTAAAACGAACAATCAGGAGACGGTAGGGAAGCTATCGCGATAATCCATGCGAGTGGTGACAGTGGCTCAGGTAGGGACATGGCAGCAGCACTGGTGGGTAGCAGTGCTCTCTGGATTCAATGTGAAGGTAG